TGCCCCCGCAGCCCAGGGAGGTCCATGGGGGAGCAGATCTCCACCTGCAGCCCAGGGAGGTCCATGGGGGAGCAGATCTCCACCTGCAGCCCAGGGAGGTCCATGGGGGAGCAGATCTCCACCTGCAGCCCAGGGAGGTCCATGGGGGAGCAGATCTCCACCTGCAGCCCAGGGAGGTCCATGGGGGAGCAGATCTCCACCTGCAGCCCAGGGAGGTCCATGGGGGAGCAGATCCCCACCTGTAGCCCGTGGAGGACCCCACGCCGGAGCGGGTGGATGCCTGAAGGGAGGAGGCTGTGACCCCGTGGGAAGCCCACGCCAGATCAGGTTCCTGGCAAGACTTTGCGGACCCGTGGGGGAGGAGTCCACGCTGAAGCAGGTTTGCTGGCAGAACTTGTGACCCTGAAGGGAACCCAACGCTGGAGCCATCTGCTCCTGAGGGACCGCACCCTGTGGAAATTATGGACCCACGCTGGAGCAGTGGGTGAAGAACTGTAGCCCATGGGAAGGACTCACGCTGGAGAAGTTCCCGGAGTCTCCCATGAGAGGGACCCCACGTGTGAGCGGGGGAAGAGTCCTCTACCCAGGAGGAAGAGGCAGCAGAGACAGCGTGTGATGAACTGACCCCAACCCCCATTCCCGTCCCCCTGCACTGCTGGGGGGGAGTAGGTAGAGAAACTGGGAGTGAAGTTGAGCCCAGGAAGAAGGGAGGGGTGTGGGGAAGGTGGTTTAAGATTAAGCAGTTTTTATCCTCTCCTTCTCTGATTTTGATTGATAATAAATTAAATTAATTTCATCAAGTTGAGTCTGTTTTGCCCGTGATGGTAACTGATAAAATGATCTCTCCCTGTCCTTATCTCGACCCACGAGCCCTTTGATTTACTTTTCTCTCCTCTGTCTGGTTAAAGAGGGGAGGGATAGAGCAGCTTTGGTAGGCTGCTGGCGTCCAGCCAGGGTTGAACCACCACACCCCCAAGAATAAGAGAGGAGAACTGGCGACAATCAACATGGAGAAGGCTAAGGTGCTGAACAGATTTTTTGTCTTCATTTTCACCGGCAATCTCTCTTCCCACATCTCTCAACTCCCTGAACCGCAGCGCAGGGACTGGGGGAATGAAGTCCCTGCCATTGTAGGAGAGGATCAGGTTGGAGACCACCTGAGGAACCTGAACAAACACAGATGTTTCCTGATAGTTCTGCCATTTGCTTGTCCCAACAGCTGAGTGGGGACAGAAAAAGTGTCAGGTTTGCTCCCTGCCCGTCTACTTGCTCCACGCAAGTCCCACAGGACGGTCCTCGTGGGTGCGAGAGTGGCTGCCCTGGAGATTCTCTCATGAACTTGTGAGATGTAGGCTTTATTACTGAACCTATTTGCAACACAATTTACTAATGGGATGTAAATATACCGCCTTACATCTGATGAGATATTCCACCACATCCCACTAGGTTCAAAGCCTGTTCACACACTGTGCTCAGCATGGCAGTCTTCAGTATCCAAGTCTTAAAAGGAATGGTGCTGCATGTTAAAAAGCAAGATTAAGGAGAAAAGGGTCTGTAGACATTTCTGTGATACACTAGAATTGAATATTTTAAACTTCTCAGAGCAGGAACATGTTCCCCAGTTACTGCTATAGCCTTGAAAAGACCAAGTGGTGACACCAAGACCTAAAGGATGTTAAGGGCTTACTTGGCTTTTATGCCTCTATCAAGAGAAAGGAATTGCGCTCCAGCACGGGAGCTTTAATAAACATCCTCCTGTTAACAGCCAATCCATAGAGCTATTACCCCCAAACACGGCTGTCGCCACCTCCAGCGCCTCTCACCTCCTCCCCAGGTGGCTCCGCTTCAGCAACTGAGCTGCAGTGGTTAACCCGACCCGCTTGGGCTGGAGCCCCTCTGCCATGGGGCCAGGCTGGGAGAGTTGGGGGTGTTCAGCCTGGAGAAGAGAAGGCTGCGGGCAGAGCTGAGTGCGGCCGGTCAGGGCTTCAAGGGGGGCCAGAGGAAAGGGGGGGACAAGCTTTTTAGCAGGGCCGGCTGGGACAGGACAAGGGGGGATGGCTTTAAACTGAAGCAGGGCAGGTTTAGACTGGATCTAAGGCAGAAATTCTTTACCATGAGGGTGGTGAAACCCTGGCAGGGGTTGCCCCGAGAGGGGGTGGAGGCCCCATCCCTGGGACCGTTCCAGGCCAGGTTGGCCGGGGCTGTGAGCAACCTGATGTGGTTCAAGGTGTCCCTGCTCCTGCAGGGGGGTTGGGCTGGGTGACCTCTGGGGGTCCCTTCCCACCCAAACCATTCTGCGATTCTATGATTTTGTTACTGCAAATTTAGAAAGACCCAGAAAGACAGAGTTCACAGAACTGATGATACAGTGCACGTTATAGCAACCACCCATTATACATTAGTCTTTCCCATTTCTCTAAGAAGTCCAAACACTGTGTCTAAACTCACAGATCTCGTTCCTCGTCTTGTCTCTGGATCACATTGCAGTCTGATTTCCTTTCATCATTGAGATAATCCCCAAAGTCCTTTACACCATTCCCACCACAGCCCTGACACGTAGTATCCCTGGGTTTTGTACGGTTGTGGCATGCCCAGCTCTGTGCCACTTCAACCTTACCTCCCATTCCTTC